CACACACACACACACACACACACACACACACACACACACACACACACGGCAAACATATTGTTACAGTGAGAACTCATTTTAAACCCTTAAGGCACTGAAGCAGAGCAATCATCTGTATCTGTTCTGAGGTGAACTGAAAACTCCTTCGCTGTCCGAGTGTGAAGACGTGCAGTGATCATAACGATTGTTCGCAGACACAGTTCTGATTTGTAATTAAATGCTTCGACAGATGTGCTCTCAGAAGCAGCAGAAAGCCGGTTGAATGGTGTCAGTACCGTTTGCCTCCGGTGAATTAAAGTTGCATCATAGTTTAGGTGTCGTATGATTAGAATGTGAAGGAGCATTTTTAAAACCATGTAATTCTTTAGTGTCGTCACTCACAGCTGCAGGAACCGACAGCACAGGAGAGTCACTTCCGTTCACCTCCCCGTGGCTGTGCATGATCTGAGAAGTTTGTGAGGTTTGGGAAGGAGGCAGGTCCTCTGTCTCCACTGGGCTGATAAATATAAAGTCTCCACTGGAGCTGGAAGAGTTACTTTGAGCAGCTACACTGTCTAGTTCAACTGGCTCGTCTTTATGTTCTCTGTTCCTGCAGCTCTCCTCCTCCTGCTGCACGGTGGAATCACAAGTTACATTTTCTCTCTGCATCTCATTTGTTGTGCTGTTGTCCAAATTCTGATGTCCCTGTTGTGCAGCCACATCTGGCCACGGGTCTCTCTGAGCTGCAGCTGCTGGCCCCGGCCTGTCACCTGAAGCCTGACTCTGACCCGGTGGTATCGGTCGGACCGGTTGGTGACACATGGGGCACGTTTCCTGCACATACAGCCACTTGCGGAGACAGTTGTCGTGGAAGAAATGCCCGCAGGACGTAATCACAGCCGAGCTCATGTCCTGTGAAGAGACACAGATGTGGCTGTAAACACCAACAGGAACATCACAAGTGTTCATACTGTTGCTATTCTTAAAGAAACAGCCATTTAAAAGCTGATAAACCATCTTATTATTACAATATACTGACTGCAACAAAAGGCAAAAAGAATGTTTTTGATTTTATTAATGTTTTGCCTTTTGGTCAACTTATGCCATTTATAACCAACATGGAAGTAGCTGAGAGTCATTCAGAAAACGTACTCTGAGCGTCACACAAGAATGTGCAAAAGGTAACTTTCAAGGTTTGACAGAAACAACTACAAGTCATTTATTTATCAACAGATTATTTTAGTCCTAGCGCTTTAAATGTGACAGTTTTATAACCAATACTTCTACATAACCAACAAATTATTTTTATATTAATGTTTACAATAACCATTTTCTATTTCTCATCTTCATCCATTGTTTATTTTCTTATTTTAGACTATTTGCAGTGTTGTAAATGTGTGTAGTATTTACATATTTCATCCATCTGACTTGAAAAAGCCACTGAAACATTAGCACACTTTAAACAGTGATCACTTATTTACTAGTTTTGGGATTGAAAGAAAATGTCCTCCCCCCTCGTACATGTCTGTAGACAGTATGAGAGGAGGTGTCGGGCAGGACAAACAGGAAGAACGCGTCTCACAGGTAAACAAACTGAGTGATGTCATTTGTTGACAATGTGTAAATTAAGCCAGCTAGAACAGCTCAGACAACTATCAAAACATTTACTGTACAACTATTTCTTTCCTGGTCTTTGCTGTACACTAAAGGTACTTTTCATAATACAGTTATTAAGTGCATTCACTGTATGACAAGCTACAGCAGACGGTTTCTGATCTATAAAATACAACTTTGTTAGAAACTACTGGAAACTGGAAGATAAATTGAAAACAGACAAAAGAAAGCAGCATTTGGTTAAGCTGTTCCCTGTTGTGCAACTTTACACCTTCTCAACACTAAAGTTAAAGTTTAATCAAGTTGGAGACTAAAAGTTTAGTTTAATTTTGACTTCCACAGCTTTAAAAACAAGATCTAACACAATATTTAGTTATTTAGACAAATCCATCAGGGCAGTCTGAACATTTCTTTTAATCATGTTGCAAAGAGAATCTTAGAAAATCTTCTTCTCTATGATGTCACTGGAAATCAGTTACATCATTGTTCCTTTTAAAACGCAGACAAACTCAATCAACAACAATAATTTCAACAAATCTGACAACAAATGTTCTTCGTAGGTTGAGTTACCGTAATGTCTGGTGTATAAGCCGCTTCTGTTTTCACACGCTCTGAACACCGTGTATACAATGCTGTAGCTAATTTATGGATTTATTTATCTAGATGGGCTAACGAGCTTCCTGCCGCCAAAAACATTTAGCCTCATCACACACGGGTGCTCGCATAGCTGTCCAATACATGTCTCTCTTGGGATGGGGGGGGGGGGGGGTGACTCAATGAGACTACCTGTATAAATAAAAGTAAATAAAAAATAAAAAATCTGACCAATGAAATTATAGAACAGGTCACAGATGAACTAATGAAATTGGGAGGGGAGGAGAATTATCTCCCCCCCCCCCCCCCCCAATGCACAGAGCAACTTTTGCTCAGGGCAAGCTTGCAGCAGGAGGAATATGAAGATAGTGATCAATGACTTCCTGGTAGACTAATGTATATTTTTTCGACAACGAAAAAGACTGAGGATGTGTAAATGGTAAATGGACTGTACTTATATAGCGCCTTTCTATCTGATCAAGATACTCAAAGCTCTTTACTCTACAATCTGTGCCTCATTTACCCATTCATACAGCACTCTACTAGATCTCTACAAAGCTAATTGAACAAATCATTCTAAAGAGAATAATCAGAGCTTTATCACATTCAGACACCGATGGGACACACATCAGAGGCAATGAGGGGTTCAGTGTCTTGCCCAGGGACACTTCGGCATGTGACTGCTGGTGGATTTGAACCCCCAACTCTTGCATTGGAGGACGACTGCTCTAACCACTCAGCCACAGCCGCCTTCACAGTGTGTGATGAAGTTTTTCTGAGGCTGTTCAGTTCTGACACTGAAGAAGACTTTAGTGGTTTTAGTGCACAGAAGGAAGATGAAGATAGCAATCAGTGACGTTTACTGGTAGGCTACTGTAATTTTATTTTTTATTTTTTTAACCAGCCGTGTTACAGGCACTGTTCAGAAAAAAGCATTCACTGTACATATTTGTGTATGTTACCACATATTTAATTAAAAGTTTAAAAAATCTTTCTATGTAAAAATCGCATGTTACAACGTGGACACCCCTGGCTTATCGACAAGCGTGGCCTATATATACAGGTCCTTCTAAAAAAATTAGCATATTGTGATAAAAGGTAATTATTTTCCATAATGTAATGATAAAAATGAAACTTTCATATATTTCAGATTCATTACACACCAACTGAAATATTTCAGGTCTTTAATTGTTTTAATACTGATGATTATGGCATACAGCTCTTGAAAACCCAAAATGCCTGTCCCAAAAAATTAGCATATCATGAAAAGTTTCTCTAAACAAGCTATTAACCTAAACATCTGAATCAACGACGTAACTCTAAACACCTGCAAAAGATTCCTGAGGCTTTTAAAAACTCCCAGCCTTGTTCATTACTCAAAACCGCAATCATGGGTAAGACTGCCGACCTGACTGCTGTCCAGAAGGCCATCATTGACACCCTCGAGCAAGAGGGTAAGACTGCCGACCCCTCAAGGTGTGCTGTTTTGGTTGAGACTCAGACAGTTGGAGCTGAATCAACACAAGAGTCTTGGACGGTTGGTATAAAACTGGTTTGTGACTGGACTGCTATGGCGTCTCAAGGTGAGAGTGAAGGGGATGATGAGATGGAGTTAGGTGCGTGGTGGTAAAGTGTCAGGAAGAGAGAAATAAAAAGGAAGATATTTTGCAAAGTAATAAAAGGAGTCTAGAAGAAAACAGTTTGGAGGAAAACAATGTGGTTAGTAAGATGGTTGTATGTATGTATGTATGTATGTTTTATTTATTCATTTCATTTAATCCAAACAACAAGTATAATACAATTTAAAGAAAAGAAAAAAGATATACAATCACAGAAATAAAATGAAAGGCAGCAGAAGAAGAATGAGTTCTTATAATATCTGCCCCTTGTCCCCAAAATATATTCCAAACAAAATTACTATACAAAAGCAAGATGAATTTATAAAAAAATAAAAATGTAAAAAATAATTTTTAAAAAAAACTTAGCTAAAATATAAGATCAACTGTAAACAATTTTTATGAACTCACATTATACTTAATATTTAAAAAAACAAACAAATTTTTATCATCTTCTTGAATATGTACATAGTTTTGGCATTTTTAATATCAACCTCCAGATCATTCCACAATCTTTAACACCCTGAGATCTAGTGGATCACATCTTCAGACTGGTGCGACACCACGGCTTCACAAACATCTCCATCCCCTTAAGATAATAATTACTTTCTCTTTTAACAAATTTCCCTTGAATGTTAGTAGGTAGTATGTTTTTGTTGGCCCCATACATAAACAGTAAGATATTGTAATCAACCAAGTCATAAAATTTTAATATCTTTAGCTGATGAAACAATATATTTGACGGATGGTTATA